GTTTTATAATTGCAAGCCATGTTTTGCAAGAAACTACAGTTCTATCTATCATGCCTTAGTCCACACATCTTAAAATTGATATGGTTGAGAAATCCTGGAATATTCTGCATGGTTGTGCAATATTGGGTTCAGTTCACACAAAGTGCTTTGGAATCTGCAGAAGCGTAAATGTGGCACCTGTTGACAGATCATTAAAGCAGGTGCTTCTCTGCTGGAGCCACGAGCTGGAAAACAGACGCAGCTGCTTTCATGCTCTCACACATTCTAAAGCACGTCTTCCAAATTAAATTGGAAGCATCGCAAAGCCAATGCTACCTTGTTGTGGGCTGTCTTAAGTAATCATGATGTATGTATTCAATGACTGCCTGTGCAACATCCTAATTTGTTTTGATCAGCCTGATTGGTATCTCATTTTAAATTATGGCTTGATATGATACGCACAAAAAGATTGAGCCTTTTTGGCTTATGTTTTCCTCCTTGCATTCTCTCTTTCTGTGTAGCCAGAAAGAAGAATTCAGAAACTTTTTTCTTTCCGTTGTATCATCTGGAGCATGGTGTGCTTTCGGAGCTGGCTTGTTTAAAACAGCCACAGTCAACCAGTTCCTGGTTCCTGATGATACAGAGGGAAGAGAATTGGAGCTTCCTATGCATGGCGTATTAAACTAAAGTTTATCATATGCAGCCAAGGCCAGTGACATTACACTTGTCTACCAAACAACTGTTGTGCAACCAAAAGAGAAGCTGCATTTTAAATGAAATTCTCCTTTTCTGGTGGGGGGAGAAAACATGCTTCTTCTGAAAGAGATCATCCCTTTTGTAAAGTCACTGATGCTTTGGACCCTTCTGAAAAAGTGTTTTGTTGAAATGAGTAGTTCTGTAAAATAAACATTTAAGATATCTGACGTTGCTTTTCTATAACTAAAGCGTTTCTGAGGGTGTTGCAATGTTCTACACTTGTTTTCTCTGCTCAGAACTTTTCACCTGTGGGTCTGGTTCTGAAATGGGGCTTCTTGCTTGCTATTGAGAATATTTGGATTAAGTTTAACTGGGCGCAGACACCATCTTTTTCTCCTTTTTTTGGTCACTGAGACCCTGAACAGATAAGAGCCAATACACTAGTCACTTTACATCCTAATGAGATGTACGATGCTGTGTTTCTCCTGTCTTGTTCATGGAGAAATAACACTTTCAGGTCGTTTGGGGAACAATTCCCAGTTTCAAAGGCCTGCCCATTTTTTATTTAAATGTGGCCAGGGCTGGAATCTTAACACATTCATGGCATCATTTGGCCAGGCTCCAAAAGGAATAGAGTGATCTGGAAATTAAAGCCCGTTTAAGGGCAAGTTAACCATCTTGCAAACAAGCCAACCAGAATTCCAAACCCATGTAAAGTTTGACCATCTTGCTCTGTATGTTGGGGATGTATGTTGATGGCCGAACCAGAAAACGTTGTGCTCATAATCAACGTCTTGGCCGGATTCATTGTTTGCTCTGTTTAGACTTTGCATGAAATATGAACCGGAATTTTGAATCAGCAACTGGAGTCACACATGCTAAGCCACGGTTTGTAGAAAAGGCCGCACTTGGCTGGCTTCACATGATAGCCATAAGCCAACCCTCAACAACTTGCTTAGCCAGCCATGTAGATCAGGCTAGGATGGGTGATTAGCAGTTCTGGACACAGGTAGGTCATTGTCTACCCATCTTCCTGCAAGGTCAGGTACAGAGAACTGCAAATTAGGAATGATGAAGATTAACAGTGACTCTTCTAATTAGACCTAATTAGAGTTGCTGGAAGTCGGGTGGCATATACATTTAATAAATTATTGTTGGTTTTTAACACCATCAAACAACATCTACCTATCCCAGGTCCTTCGGAAGGACTTGATAGGTGGTTATATTATTTCTTCCAAAACACTGGAGGCTTGATCCCAATTTTGTCCATTAATCTTTAGGTTGACAATGTACATTCCATGCTACTTTAGCTTATGTCCCTAGTGTGAACAGCAATGATGCAAGCAACGTAGACAGTTCTCTGTCCCCAAGACATGTTCAGTCTAAAAATAGAGAGCAAGGAAGAGGAGCAAGGCGGGGAGAGAGTATGGGCATAAGTTTCTACATATGCCTAAGGCTTGGCTGTGGCTTGGAATGAGAATCAGAGAAGCCAGAGGCTGTTCTCTCCCCACTGGTTAAAAGGATCCTTTTGTGTGGGATCCTGATGGCTGATCTTGCATCTCCATTTCACTTCGCTTCTGGGGAGATGTAAAGTAAAACCCGAGAACTCTGCCTTTCCGCTGCTGCCCGTTCCCCTTGAGGTGGGCCGAAGGGGCCACAGTCCATAAGAACAACTGATCTTATGCGCAGCAGAACCAGGACCAAAAGCTGCCCCTTATTTGAGCAACGGGTAAGTTTTCCTTTGGGAAAACTCTCTAAACCAGGAAGATTACTTAGAGCAAAGCGCTAAGACCAACCCACCAACTGCTACCCCAACGTCAACTCGATTTAAGAACAGCTTTGCAGACACATTTGCGCTTTTGCGAATTTATTTTCCATTGCTCACTTGGCTCACTAACCTTCTGTCTGTTGCTTTTTTCCTTTTTCATCTTTCTCTCCGCAGCCGAAGAATGTAGCAGTTCTGATATCCTCTTTGTCATTCCCGTTGTGGTGGGTGTGGTGATTGGACTCCTCATTATTGTTGCTTTTGTGGTTTTTATGATTTCCAGACGAAAGCATCATAGTGGCTACCAATCTGTGTAACTCCCCCCCCATTTTTCCCTTTGCTGCTGCTTCAGCTTCTCCCTCACCCCATTTTTCTTCCCCCCCCCGCCCCACTTGCCCTTTAAGGGATACTTGAAGGTTGTGATTTTTTAAGAGTAAAAAAAAAAAAAAACTATCATGGCAGCAGGGTAAATGTATCTGTGCATCTGATTGGGGGATATTGCTTTGATTCCAAATTTTGGACTTCAAGCTCTACTTGGCCACCAGACCCACGGATTGTTTTCAAAGACAGAAGAGCATAGAAAGCAACCAGCTCACGTTTGTCCCACTCTTCCTCATGCCAGATTTTTTGGAGCGCAGGAAGCAAATAAAAACTTCAAGGGGAGCACACTTCAAGGTTTAAACAAATGGGGGACTGACTTGAGATGTGAGTGGGATGTTAAAAGTTTTGACTGTGGCATCTTTGGATCTGGGTTGTACAAAGAAATGGTCAAAATATAATTTAGACCTTCCATGAGCTAGGCTTAGGGGAGATAATCGGAGGATCCAGGCAAATGCTGCTTCTCTTGAGGTTCTTCAGTCCCCATCATTGGCCCAAAATTGGCTGATGGCTTTCTGTTTTCAGGTGGGAAATGCATGAAAACAGTGGGGTGGGCTTGGCATGCTCTTAAAAACCAGGAACCCAAACACTCTAGTCACCAATAGTGGGCAAAAAAAAATCCTAGCCTGCTTGCAATGGAGCTCTACCCATTTGACCTCATGGCAGCTGCTGTATTCCTCCAAAATACTATATCTAGTCCCGGCCACCAAAATGTTGCCTAAATGTGGAAGTATAAGCTTAGGGCTGTATACAGTCCCTGCCTCCTGTTCTCCTTTTTTGGCCTCCGGGCATTCCCAAAATGAGTACGGCCAAAACCAGGGGTGTCCGCGGGGTATAGTTCTTTAAAAAAAAAAAAGTCAAGATGGCAGCCACCAATTCACAGGCAGAACTTCAGCCGAGGCCACCAACTCTCTTTGAACCACATCCTCCAGACAACCCTGGACAAAATCTTTGAAATTGGGAGGGTGGGGGTTAAGGGATGCTGGAAGCCTTGCAAACGCTCCCATTTTGCCAAAAATATGAGCTGAAAAGTTGGCCCTGCTTCTTCTGGTGATGTTTGACATTACTGGCCAGAAATCTGGCTGTGGGAAAATGTGGTCGAGAGAATTTTAGACTTGCTGTTTTAGAACTTGCCTTTATGCTGCGTGGGGAGCTACACCGGATTTATCAACATAGAAGGGCACATTTCCTTTGCAGTTGTGCCAGAAGATGAGAGTGCTAACCACCTCAATGTACCTTTCACAGGTTCTTCCCATGGGTTGGGAATTCTAATCCTAGCCCATCCAGAAGCTCCAGATTGGGAAAGCCTATTTTGATGGATTGGATGATAAATAGGAGATAAACTTGATAGCCCCCCAACAATCCCCAGGGGTAGCCTGTATTAGATCTTGAGAAAGCATCACCATTTATTCTACTAAGACTAGAAGCTCTTGTATTGCTCCACTTTGAAGGATTGTTATCTTGGAAAAAGGAAAAGTTCAAATCTCTACTGAAATTTGGGTAAAGGAAGCCACATTAAAGCATCTGCTAACATCTGGAAGATGGAGTGCTGACTCCTGCACCAGGAGATCTGGGGCAAACTCCAAAAACCTAGTCAGGGATTAAGTAAAATAAAATGGAGCAGGAGTCCGGCTGCCTAGGTCCCTTGGGTTTCCAGTGTGGGATCCTAATTTAGTTGATTGCGTGCCACAAGTCCCAAAACAGCACATGGTACAATCCATCCACAGCATTTAAGTCCTACCCCTCGGCTGCGATCCTGCAAGTCTTTGTGAACCCACAGGCAGTACAGAAAGAGCCATTGCTATGCTGTAAGTCAGTCCTTTTATTTCAGTGTACAAGCATCTGAGACCCCACCTCTTCACCACCTCCCCGGCCGTTTCCCTCCCAGTCTGAAATGCTGCATCACGAACATTGGAGGCAAAGAAGCAGTACCTGCATTCCATGGTGGCTCTGCTTGTTCACGCCTAACCCAGGGTGGATTAGGGGTGGATCCCACGTCCCAAGAACATGAGATCAGGCAAAAGGATGCTAATAGTGAAAGTCCCAATTCTGATGGCCCAGCTGTGGGGTGGGCCTTCCGTGCAGGTCCATACCCCATGGGAATAAAAAGGTGGGGAGAGCAAACCCTTCCAGAAAGCATCTTGAGATGATCAAGATGGAGGATCAAGAGGGCCCTCCCCAGACAGCCTTCTGTCTCTCTTTGCAAACCTGATTAGGCACTCAGGGCTGGTAAACATCAAAAGCGCATTTTCCTCTTTATTTAAGGGAATACCTATCTTGATTGGGAAGGCCTATGCTGCTTAGGGAATATCACTGCCACTATAAACTGAGCCAGTAAAGCAATAGGATAAAAATGGGTAATGCTTTTTGGGGTCAGAGATGATAGATTTCAGCAGAAATACTGGTGGTCTATCAATATTATCTTTAAGGCTAGCTAACCATCCATTGGATTTTCTAACTTCTAAGGTGGTAAATCCCTCAGTCGTGTGATTTTGGAAGACCCTTTGAGCAATGGCTTTATGAATATCTATTGCAAAAACTGCATAGAAGAACAATCCACAGAACAATCCATTTCTGGCTCTTCTCTAATGCCTATTCCAAATACTGGCCCATTAAATATGAAAATTGCTAGCTAACGTCTGTGTTGACAGTGAATGTACCTCCCAAAAGGAGAGAAAAAGAATAAAACCAATTATTTTTGAACGTGGATGCCATGGCAAAACTGTTAACTTCTTGCCAAACGCCATCCCTTCTGATGCACCAGGGAAAAATCTAACCGAAATATCTCATGTTTATTTAAAATGCTTTTTAAAAATATTTGGCTGATGCGTTCAGTCGCAGGATGAACGATTCAAATGCTTTATGTTTAGTTCCATAGTCTACATTGGGAGTTATCCTTCCTTTTGTTTTTCCAAAGAAAAACAAAAACCTTCCCTCAAAATAGGTCTGGATTTTCCTGGTGCTATGTAAATGGCCAATTTGATTTTCCCACAGTGAGAAAACATTTGATTGCCATAAAAGGATGATCACAAGTGCTGGTCTGGCCTTAGCTCCTGATGCTTAGTGTGAAGATGATGCGCCCCAGGAACCGGTCGGAGTTAATGGTATTGATAATTCCTTTTCCATTCAGTTGGCATTGAATGTCCATGGTGTAGTTTCTCACAACTCTCGTAAAATGAACTGCTACCAAGGGTTGTGTGTAGTTAACCTGAAAACGATCAGTCAATCAAGATCTTTATTTCAGGCTTGGACCAGCATGAGGTAGAAAGCAATAAAAACTATAACGTAAGCAATAACATTTACTGGTGGGGTTTAGGAATAGGTCATCCCTACAAGCAATAATAATTATGAAATGAGAAGGCACTGACATAAAACACATATGCTATAAAATTACTGTATGAGTTAGGAAATTGCAACAGGACACTGATGGCTCAAAAACAATTCAGTGGAGAATTCAAGTGCTATCTTACATGCATTTCTTGATATCAAGATTCATTGAAGATGGGGGGGTCTTCCTAGACAAATGGAAAGTAATTATCCCTTCTCCTTAAATGAACGTGGAAAACAGCTTATCGAACAGAAAAGAATGCTCTGATCTATTACAGATCAGAAGCAAAATGCTTTTTCCCTAACCCTTAAACTGACAGAGTGAAAAACATTGGTCATTAATCCAGCGTAGGTTAGAAATCCTTTCTTCCTGTTTCAGTTGTTTTAAGATGGATTTAAATGGGGAAGAGTTCAGTAAGGAAGGAGTGTACAAATGTTGGAAATAAAATAGCATCACACACTTAATGGTCAGAACATGAGCACGGATCTGAAGAAGTCTGCTGTATATTCTTGATTTATGGATGTATATACTGCCTTCAGCAGAAAGAATGAGCTAAATGAGACCACCAAACTAAAATATGAAAATCTTCACCTGATACTAAAGGAGAACAATGTTGATGTGGGGTGGGGTTGTTGGGAGGGAGAATTCAATAAATGGAACCACTGGACTGTTGAGAGGAAACTCAAGATAAATGACTTCGTTGGTTGGGATACCGAGAGGAGCTGCCAATGACAGCACAGGTAGGTTGGACACTTGATAAGAAACTACCCATTACACCCAAATTCTCAAAGTCTCCCAAATCAGCGATCATCAAGATACGCATAAGATTGCATGGTTGCTCACTTTGCATTTAATGACTCTCTTATCTGCTCTCCAACAAGCTATGAACCCAGGGCAGTTGGATTTATGTATTTCTAAACTCTATGAATTGTTCTAATATTAGAAGTTCATTAAAAGCCCAAACATGATACAAAATCATACAAAAATCATTTCAAACAACAGTAGAGTTGGATAGGTGCTGGCAGAACTTGTTAGGCTACATCTCCCACAGTCCCTTGCCCCTGGTCGTGCCAAATGGGGCTGACAGAAGCTGCAGTTCAGAACATCTGGAGACTGCCAATACAGACTTACTCTCCAGAAAGGCCCAAAATGCTACAGGAATTATACATGCAACATTCATCCAACAGTTAAACTTCTACTTACGTGTGTGTGTTTGCCATAATAAGGGAAATACATGGGATCAAACGTTGCACTTGGGTAGAAATCTAGGGACTGGAGATGATTTTCATCACCTTTCTACAATTTAAAAAAATAGTATTGATGTCGAGTTGAGTTGAAGTCCACCCATCTTAAAGCATGCTGGCTGGGGAATTCTGGGAGTGGAAGTCCACCCATCTTAAAGTTGCCAAGTTTGAAAAACACTGCTGTAAGTTTTAAAAGGAGCCTATTGCAATTAAACAGCCACATCTCAACTCCCTGAAAAAAAAGCAAGCCTTACTTAAATTGCACAGTTCCCCAGATGTGCAGCCCCTAGCCCCCCGAAGGCTGCTCAAATATTATGCACGCTATGTTACTTTTCCTGCATCACCCATCTTTGATGGGCCACCTCAGTGCAGCATCTGTGGCCAGACACAGCTATGAGAAAGTGAGGGTGCGCATTTCCCAAATGCCATGGAAATGGAGGGCGTTAGAGAGCTGATCCACATCAGTTCCTTCCCATTGGTTGCAATGGGGAAGAGGAAAAATGAAATAGGAAGGAAAACCAGCATCCAGGAAGAGGTCAAGAGAGCCCTCTGATTTAAATGGTAACTATACCTTGCTGCTCTGATATTATGCCAAAATTGTGTCTCTCTTTTTTAAAGAAAAAGTGGGGAAGTTGAATAGGCTCTGCTCAGGGTACAGCTGCCAAGAATGCCTGGTGCAAATCTGCAGTACATAGAATTAATAAAAGCAAGAGAATTTACCTGGACTTTGCAACTCACAGTCACTGGAGTGCCATAGCCAGGCTGATACCCGATAATCTGCAAAAACAAAAGCTTTTTAATTGCCTTTAAAAACACTTTGACCTTCTAAACCCCGTTTTGCTGCAGGTGAAAGAAAGAGCAGGAGAGCACGAGGCACAAATGCTTTGAACTTCATTCTGCTTTGTTTCTGAGGGCCACAGAACTGTTCACATAGCCTTCCTCAACCTTATCTCTGACTAGGGATGATGGGAACTGTAATCCAACAGGCCTGAGGACCACAATGTGAGCCAGCTGTAGATGGCCCCCTGGGAAGTGCAGGATGAAGGAATCAGCTCAGTGCCAACACAAGATCTTTCTTCCCCAGCCCTTTAAGCCTAAAACGGGAATGTCATATTAGATTTGCTAAGAAGTTGCGTGGAGGCAGAAGTTTTCTTTGTCTAATCTTGGGGACGGGTGGGTCTTAAATTCCAGATAATTGTAAATACAATACTCTTCAAATACAGGTAGTCCTCACTTAACAACCATTTGTTTAGTGACCATTTGAAGTTACAACGATGCTGAACAAAGAGACTTACAACTGTCACAGCACTCCTGCAGTCACATGATTGCAATCCAGGCACTTGGCAACCAGCTCGCACTTACAATTGTTGCAGCGTCCTGGGGTCAGATGATCACCATCTGTGACCTTCCCAGCCAGCTTCCGGCAAGCAAAATCAAAGGGGAACTGTGTGATTCGCTTAATGGCTGCTGCAAAAACGGTCGTAAAATTGGGCATGACTCGCTTAACAACTACCCCATCTTCTGGTCCTATTGTGGTCGTTAAGTGAGGACTACCTGTACTTCTTTTTAACAATATTTCTGTCTCTTGCTTTCTCCATCTCAGATCAATTGCAACGCAAAGCCACACTTCCATATGATGTCTTGGAAACTTTTCCTCAAGTGTAGAAAGAGTCTAAGGTCCTCTTCCAAAATTTATATTCAGGAAATGTAAAGAATTTCACCAGAGACTACTGTGAAGTGCCCGGCAGCTTCTCCCTCATCTAGTTCTGCCACCATTTCTCCTTACCCAGTTCCAACAAGATGCCCCTGATTTCCAGAGGAAGCAAGTCCAAGATTGCCATTTGTGATTGGATGACGTGATATTTGTTCATTTAAACCAGTGTTTCTCAAACTTGGCAACTTTAAGTTGTGTGGACTTCAACTCCCAGACTTCCCC